ACCACTCGCGCAGCTGCTGTGGTGAGAAGACGCCAGCTGTGGCGAGGCACCCGTAGGGCCTCCAACAGACGCAACACCCCTAGACTCAGCACCCCCAGACTCAGCACCCCCAGGCTCTGCACTCGCAGGCTTAGCACCCCCAGGCTCAGCACCCCCAGGCTCCGCACGCTCAGGCTCAGCACCCCCAGGCTCCTCACGCTCAGGCTCAGCACCCCCTGGCTCCGCACCCGTAGACTCAGCACCCCCAGACGCAGCACCCCGAGCAGCACCACCCCCAGCAGCACCAGGGTCGCCAGTGACCTCGACAGGCTCAGCCAAGGGAAGTGGGTCTACCTGAGACACACCTGAAGGAGCAGGACCCTGAGGGGGGAGGGGGTCTACCGGAGGGGGACCTGGAGCAAGGAAGAGCGGCGGGGTTAGGAGAGGGGCAGTGCGGTAGGGGAAGAGACGGTAGAAGGGAACCGACTCGTCAAACGTGACGCCCTGAGAGGACAGAATACGGCGCGAGGTGGGGTGGTAAAACTGCCAGCCAGGCGCGTCAGGGGGGAAGCCAAGGAAGACACAGGGAATGGCGCGGGAGGAGAGCTTGTCCGCGGAGGTATCGCGGACAAAGGCACGAGCGCCCCAAATCGGGAACAGCGACGCATCGCCAACCTTCCCCGTCCAACGCAGTGTAGGCGAGGTCTCCGGCAAGGAGACATGGGGCCAGAGGTTGAGCTGATGCGCAGCGTACCGGACTGCAAACGGCCACAAAAAATGGGGAGCAACAAGTCGCATGGATCATGGAGGTACGAGCCACCTCCATGACTAAGCCAATGCGGTGCTCAGCAACCCCATTCTGCTGTGGGGAGGCCGGAAGCGTGAACGACTGGAGGATGCCCTCCCCTCGCAAAAGCTCCGTAGGAGGTCAGAGGAGAACTCACCACCCCTGTCAGAGTGCAGACGCAGGACTGGAAGGTTCGTGCAAAACCGCTCGCGGAGCTGGAGACGAACAGCGCAGATCCAAGGGATCAAGACATCAGGGACGTCACCCTTGGAGCGCAAGGGGAAGACCGTGGTGTAACGCGAGTAGTCATCAACAACCAGCAGAAAGTACCGCTCGCGGCCCTGTCCAGTGACGCGGGCTGGGCCCCACACGTCCATGTGGAGAGTCTGCAGGGGAGCAGTCGTCGGGGGAAACGAGGAGGAGTGAGGAGCGGTCCACTGCCGCCCCTCGACGCAAGGAAGGCAGGGCGGGGCAGGCGAGGGTGGGAGAGGAGGCAAAAGTGCATGGGATGGAGGTGTGGCAGGGAGGGGTGACCAAGGCGGTGGTGCCAAAGGAGAGTCTGGTGCGACAGAAGGCGACACGAGCAGGGAGCAGCGGCTACCTGACCTGACGCGGACACCTGACCATATGCAGCAACCTGAGGAGGCTCAGTAGTCAGTGTGTATAGACTCGACCCAGGCTGACGGGTGAACGTGGCCAGGTGACGGCCAGTCGAGGAGAACGTGCAGATCACCACACGCTGCCCTCCAAGAGTATAGGTATCAACCCATGCATCCTGAAGGACTGCGTTGCTCACCAAGTTCGTCGAGAACGAGGGGAGGTGGAGACCTGACAGTGAGCCGGACGGAACCGCCGGACACGGGAGAACAGTGGAGGAACGTTCAAGAACTAGGCCCCGTGAGGGGTCAGCTTTAGAGACTGCAACAGGTGCAGGGAGTGGTGTGACTGTGGTACTGTCGCGAAAGAAACAGCGGGAAGCACCTGAGTCAAGCGTGAAGGTGTGCAAGGCCTCAGCAGGTGCAGTACCAGAGAGTGCAGACTTACTATCACCTAGAGCAAGAGCCTCTTTACCTGGGTCGAGTGGCATACACAGGTAACAGTCACCCTCAGCACTAACAGTCAAAGCATACATGGCACCAAGGATGGCATCATAGTCAAGAGCACAGATATCAACACATAACCTAAGCAGCTCCGCCCAGCGGGAAAGCTCTTCCTCGTCGCCGAACTTTGCGCGCTAAGCGTCGTCTAGGCGGGAGAAGCAGCGGTGCTGGGTGTGAAACTTCCCGCAAGTCCGACCAGCGCGGTCACCTGTGCGAATGACGTACGGGCAGCGAGCACTACCCCCAGACGCCCCACGCTGAGCAAACCACTCACGAAGCTGCTGGGGCGTAGGGGTCTCACGCGGGCGCTGCTGCTGCTGCCGCTGAATGGCTCCAACCCGACCACCAACACTGCCGTCGCCACCACTCACACTGCCGCCACCACCGCCTCCACCACTCCCACTACCTCCACGATGACCACCACCACCCCCACCGTTGCCGCCACCGTCGCCACCGACGCTCCCACTCCCGCCACCACTCTCACCGCCACCTCCGCCACCGCCACCGCCTCCACTGCCTCCAACACCACCCCCCCCCTGCCACCACCCCCACCACCCTTGCCCCCTTGCCCTTGTCGCTGCGACGCTTCCCACTAGGGGCAAAAGCAGCACCGTCCTCCTCAGCACCAAGAAAGTCGATAGCAGTAGCAGAAGCAACAGAGGGGGCAAGGGGGGAGGGGGAGCACCCCTCAAAGAAGGGCGTGCGAGGAGTGCCACGAGCAGCACCTACAATGACTATACTAGTCTTAGCCGCAAGGAGGCTCTCCTTGAGCAGGTCGACAGTGAGTTCCGTGGGGTCAAGAACGAGAAAGTGGTCCCTGACAGCGCGAAGAGAGTCAGGGAGGCGTGTGACGATGCAACAGAGAGTGATGTACATCGGGGGCAGGTTCTTGTCTAGGAAATCGGCCTTAAGCGCGGCGCGGTAGCGAGTGCCGCTGGTGCGAAGGTGGGTGATGAGGTCCTCAACTGTGGCAAAGGAGGACAGCTCGGGAAAGAGGTAGGGCAGTATAAGGCGGCCGAGAGCAGCAGTGGCAGGGGAGGAGTAACGAGCGACTACAGCGTCGTACAGGGGCTTAGTAGTGAGCGCGTTCGGCTAACGGCAGGTGGTTGCGAATGGCTAGGCGAGCGGCAGCATCACAGGTAAGCCACAGTGGGCGAGTCGCACTGTCAGCTGTGTCGAGAGGGGCGAGAGAGGCTCTAGACGTGTGGTCAAACAACGAAACGCTCTCTCTAGGATCGCTCAGTAAGAACAACTGTAAGTCATCAAGCCACGTATCGAACTGGATGGGACGACCCTCAGGTTCGAACTCAAGAACGCTGAGGGTAGCCATAGCTAGCAGAGCAGGGTGGCGCGTAGGGCAAGGCAGGGCAGTGTGCATGCAGGACAGAGCCGTGTGCGGGCAGAATGGTAGCGCGCGGGCTGTAAAGGGCGGCACGCGGGCAGGCAAGGGCGGCACGCGGGCAGGCAAGGGCGGCACGCGGGCTGCAAAAGGGCAGCGCGCAGGCAAGCAGGAGCGGCGCACGGCAAGCGAGGCGGTGCGCGGGTCTGCACAGGGCTGCACGCGGGCAGGCAGGGTCGGCGCGCAGCTGGCAGGGCAGCGCGCGAGCAGCAGGGCGGTGCGCGGGCAGGGCAGGGCGTGCGCGGGGCTGCGCGACGCAGGGCAGGGCGCGCGCGGGTGGCGCGACGCAGGGGAAGGCGGGCGCGGGCAGCGCGACGCGGGGCAAGGCGTGCGCCGGCGGCGCGAAGGGCAGGGTAAGGCGTACGCGCGTGGCGCAACGCAGGCAGGGCTTGTGCGGGGCGGCGCGACGCAGGGCAGGGCGCGCGCGGGCGGCACGAGGCGGGCAAGGCGCGCGCAGGGCGGCGCGACGTAGGGCAGGGCGTGCGCGGGCAGGGCAGGGCATGCACGTTTGGTGGGGCAGCGCGACGGGCAGGGTACGATCGGGTGGGCCCTAACGAGAACGGTCATGGAACAGGACTTGCTTTGAAACCATGTCAGAAACTAGCAGCAGGAATGAATGAACTATGAAACAGTTTGGTACAAGTATACCTAGCTGGGTTATACCCCATATTGGCTACCCCACTACAGCCTACACAGGACAATATTCTGACAAAGACAGCTTAAAGAAATCTTTGAGTTTGTGTTGTGAAGCTACATGAGGTAGGGTTAGGTTAGGGGCATCGCATTTTTCAGTGCATGTGCAGATGACATTTCGAGGTCTCACGTCACGTCGGGTTTTTTTCCAGGAGTCGGGGAGATCAAGTTGTTGCTCAAATTGCAGCACACACTGCACTAAGTAAAGGCACTGCTAAGACCTGTCAAATGTTGTAGCCTGTAGTGAGGCATGTTAGGTGGGGTATAGCAGTTGGGTTAGGTTTATGTACCCTAACTAACCTTAGTCAAACACAATGTCAGTTCTGAACATGGTATCAGCTAGGTTAGGATCCTGTGGGATCCCGTTCCTCCCGCTCACGCCCATAGCGCCCTACTGTTAAGCCAAACCCTAGTGCCCGTCACGCCCGTCCCGTGCCCTAGTGCCTACCGTGCTAGTCCGTCCGGTGCCCTAGCGCCTTCTGCGTCAGCCCGTTCCGTGCCCTAGCGCCTTCCGCGTCACCCCGTCCCGTGCCCTAGCGCCTTCCGCGTAGCCCGTTCAGTGCCCTAGCGCCTTCCATGCCAGCCCGTTTCGTGCCCTAGAGCTGCTTCGCTTGCCGGTCGCGTCGCGCCAGCTGGTCCTGTCGCGTCGCGTCACCCCTGTCGTCCCGTCCCGTCGCGTCGCGCCTATCCGTCGCGTCGCGCCTATCCGTCGCGTCGCGCCCGTCACTGCCGTCCCGACGCGTTGCCCCCGTCACTGCCGTCCCGTCGCGTTGTGCCCATCGTCCCGTCACGGCGCCTCGCGCAGTCCCGTCCCGTCGCATGCGCCGCGCCTGCCCGTCCCGCCGCGCTGCGCCGTCCCGTCCCGCCCTGCCGCGCCGCGCCGCGCCGCGCCCACCCTGTCCTGCCCATCCCACTGTCCCTGCCCGTCCAGTTGTGCCCTACTCTGCGTCCCGTAGCGCCCTGAGCCTCACGCTCTGCCAGTCACGCCCTACTAGACGTTTAGGGTTTTGGCAGCGGCACTTCCCACCTCTGTGCTTCCGCTATGGCGACCCCTAGGGTCCTGCGCTTTGACGCCGAAGGTAGGCCGCTCGAGTTCTCAGTCTTGCTCCTGCGTGCACGCCGCCTCCCAGAGAGTCAGGTCCAGGCAGACGAGTCTTTGTGGGCGCACGCTTCTGGTGACCTTCTTGTGCCCTCCGACCGTGCACCCTTAGGCGGTGATACTAGCACTACAGACAGAGACCGTTATGCACGCCAGCGTGCTGACCTGACTGCGTGGAAGTTGCGTGACGCTGCGGCCTGCATCGCCCTCAGCAGCCTCCTCCCTGAGTCTGAGGAGACCCACTTCACTCAGGTTCGCACTGCTAGTGAGTTCCTGACTGCGATCAAGGCCCGCTACGCTACTCCCACCACTGTCTCTCTTGGTCAACTGTTCCTCCCGTTCTTGTTTCTTCACCTCGCCTCGTTTGAGCGCTCTGCTGACTTTATCGCTCACCTGCGCTCCCGGGACTCTAGCTACCGCGCTGCCTGCACTGACGCACAGCTTGCACTGCTCCCTCCCCCCATGGCGATTACTATCTATTTCATCGCCACTAGCCTCCCTGACCGCCTTGCCTCGGTTCGTGACGTGCTTCTTCTGAAGCACCCTAGCGAGCTCACTATCGAGGTCCTTGAGTCTGCCCTCAAGGACGTCGAGAGCAACCTCCGCTCGGTAGCCTCCGCCTCTGGTGATGTGCCCCCGCCATTGTTTCACGGGTGTACAGTCCCTCAGCTGCCCACCTTTACTGCCTCCCTCGCCACTGCCGCTACTGACGTGACCGCAGCTGCTGTTACGACTTCTTCGCGGTCTAGGGGTAGGAGTGGCAGGAGGGGCGGTCAGGGTGCTGGCAGTGGTGGCGGAGGCGGCGGAGGTGGCGTGGCGAGCGGCGGTGGCGGGAGTGCAGGGGTTAGTGACTTACCTGCTGGAGATGGTGGAGGTGACGCTCGGGTTCGTCAGGCACTTGCTGGTCTCCAGCTACAGGTGCTGGAGTGGCGGTTTTGTACCTGGCTTAGCGGCAGCAGCAGCAGCAGCAGCAGCCACTCCTCTCGCAGCAGCTGCAGCAGAGCAGAGGCTGTAGCAGGTTTTGGGGCAGGGGTCAGGACCGCGTCAGCTGTCGCGCGGTGCCGTCCACCCTCCCTGCATCTACCTCGTTCAGACAGGTACTCACCGAGGCCTCCCCTGTGGCTGTAGCCACCCACCGGGTCAGTGCTTTGCTCAGCAAACCGGCCTACAGCGTTGACAACCCTGCCCCTCACTAGCTTCCCCTTGTTCAGACGTACGGCCCCGCTCTGTGGGGCATGTCTGCTTCTCAGTTGCTTGATCTCATAGAAACTCCTCATGCTATGTATGTTGTTGTTGACTCTAGTGCTTCTGACTCTGTTTACTTGAGTTGTTAGCTTAGGTGCTAGTGTTGCTGAGGTGCCTGTTGCTAGTGTAGGTACTTGTGTGAACACTAATCCAAGAGCTATTCCGGAGGAGACTTCGCTGTCTTTCACTCTGGACTCCGGAGCTTCGCACTGTTTCTTCCGCGACCACACGACGCTTACTCCGCTTCCTGCGCCGGTCTCTGTAGCACTGGCTGGTCCCACTTTGGGACCAGTCACTTCTTGCTACACTACTACGCTTCCGTGCCCAGCTGTTCCCTCAGGTTTCCTGACGATCGTCCACGTCCCCTCGTTCTCGAGGAACTTGGTGGGTGTGAGGCTGCTCGTGAGAGGTCACGTGGGTCTTTGGATTGAGCCTTCTGTAGAGACTGCGGTTTGTGTAGACGGTGACACGTACACACCTCTAGCCACCTTTACTGCTGAGCCGGGCTCTGGTCTCTACACCCTTCACACTGGTCCCCGAGGGCAGCAGCAGCAGAAGCAGCTACTGCCTCCGACCCCTGTCACTGCCCCCCGTCAGTTCCCAGCATCTCACCAGGTTGCCGCGTCTCACCAGGTTGCCGCGTCTCACCAGGTTGCCGCGTCTCACCAGGTCGCTGTGTTTGGTCAGGTTCCTGTGTCTAGTCCGGTTGCTACGTCTTGCTCTTGCTGGTCGCTTGCCCACCCCACCGTTCTGTGGCACCACCGGATGGGGCACCCGTCGCTCCCTCGTCTTCGCGCCATGTCTAGTCAGCGTCTTGTCTTAGGCCTCCCGTGTGTCTTGCCGTCACTGCTGCCTTCGCTTGCACCACCTTGCGGTCCCTGCGTCGAGGGTCGGCTGCACGCCACCCCTCACTCCTCCTCCCTTCGTCCGGCCACCGAGCCCTTTGAGACTCTTCACTTGGACGTCTGGGCCTCTCGCCCTGGCCCTGAGCGCGAGCGTTTCTTTCTGGTGGTCGTTGACGACTACTCCCGCTACACCACAGTGTTCCCCCTGGCAAAGAAGTCTGAGGTGACTTCTACGCTGATCCGGTGGTTACTTACCACTACGGACACTCGTGGTCGTCGTGTGAGCTATCTTCACACTGACCGAGGGGGTGAGTTTCGCTCCGGCGTACTCGCTGGATTCTGTCGCGAGCAGGGCATCCGTCAGTCCTGGACGCTTCTAGAGTCCCCACAGCAGAATGGGGTTGCTGAGCACCGCATAGGCTTGGTCATGGAGATCGCCCGCACCTCCATGACTCACGCCCGTGCCCCCCATTTTCTGTGGCCCTGTGCGGTTCGGTACGCCGCTCACCAGCTGAACCTCTAGTCACGTGTCTCTCGGCCAGAGGTTTCACCGACCAGTCTTTGGACCGGGTCCCCTGGTGCTGCGTCGCGTTTTCGTGTCTGGGGTTGCTTGGCACTTGTTCGCGACACCTCCGCGGACAAGATCTCGCCTCGCGCCGTTCCCTGTGTCTTCCTTGGTTTCCCAGAGGACTCCTCTGACTTCACCTTTTACCACCCTCCCCTTCACCGGTTCTTTGACTCCCGTGACGTCCGTTTCGACGAGTCTGTCCCCTACTACGTCAGGTACCCCTGTCGAGGTCTCCCGGTTCCTCCTCCCCCTCTCTTCCTCACTTCTGTTCCCCCTCCTGCTCCCCCGGTACAGCCTCCCCCCCCTGGTCCAGCCCCGTCAGGTGTGTCCCACGCTACCCCTCCCCCCTCGGTAGCCCCTCAGGTGCAGCCTCCTTCCCCGCAGTCCTCCTCACAGCCTACTGCAGACCCTGTGGGAGTTGGTGTTCGTGACGAGGACCTTGGAGGTGCTAGCTCTAGAGGAGTTGGAGTTGGAGCTGAGAGCGTACCTGTGCGAGTTCCTAATTCTGGGGGTGCTGGAGTTGGAGCTGAGCCCGTGACTGCAGGAGACTCTAGTCTTCGGGGAGCTGGTGTTAGTCGAGCTGTCCCTGGGGGTGCTACGACTGGGGGTGCACCCTCTGCTGGACCTGGAGAGCCTAGGACTGACCCTATTACTTCTGGTTGTGCTGACTCTGGGGGTGGTGCGGCTGGTGAATTGGAGGGTTGTCCTGGGGCTACCCTGCCCCGGACACTACTCCGCCCCCCCACCCCTACCCGACCCGGCACCAGGCCCATCTTCACCGTGCACGTGAGGAGCAGCTGGAGAGTGAGGGCCTCGAGTTGGAGCGGCAGTTGCTGGAGCTACAGCAGTTGGAGGAGCAGCAGCATTGCTAGCTGTAGGCGGAGGAGCAGCAGCAGCAGCAGCAGCCGCAGCCGGAGGAGCAGCAGCAGCCGCAGCCGGAGGAGCAGCCGCAACAGCACCAGCAACAGGAGGTGCAGCAGCCGCAGCAAGAGCAGCAGCAGCCGCCGCCTCCTCCTCCTGTCTCTGGTCTTCGGACCCTCGGTCTCCCCTCTCCCTCTCCCCCACCTCCCCCTCTCCTCTCGTCTTTTGTCCTCCTGACCCCTCCCCAGCTGTTTTCCCTCGTTCTCAGCCTCCGTTGTCCCCTCCTCTTTCTCACACTTGGGCTACTCGTCGCTCTCGTCGTGCTCGTCCGTCATGCCCTATCCCCGTCATTGACTTTCGTACTGCCCTGTTTCGTTCTAGTCCGCCTCGTTCGTCTCCTTCCGTCCTTTGTTCTCCTCCTGATTCGAACTGCCCTCACTGCTTCTCTCTCTACTCCTGTCACCGACTACTACCGCACGTACTGTCCTTTTCTGTCTCGTGTTCTCGCCTCTCTTGTTACCGACCCTCGTGCTTCTCCGTCTCCGCAATTACTGCCGCAGTCACTGAGTTTGCCTCTACTCGCCGCCTTGACTACGCAACAAGTCTTGTGGCTGCTCCTCCTACCAGTCCTCTGGCCGTCGGGGGTGGGTTTGCCCTTGGCTGTGACGCCCTAGAGGACAGACAGTTTGAGCTAGAGTTCCTGGCAGCCGCTTCCCCTCATCTCTGTGCCATGCTCCTCGCCCCTGAGGGAGACCCCGACGCCCTTGACATACCGACTCCTCGCACTTACGCTGAGGCAGTGTCAGAGCAAGGGCCTCTCAGTGGAGAGCTGCCATGGACGCAGAGATGGCCTCCTACAGATCCACAGGCACCTATGTCGATGAGGTTCCCCCCCCCTGGGGCGAACGTAGTCGATGGCATGTGGATCTTCAGGGTGAAGCGGCAACCAGGATCTTTTCCGGTCTTCAAGGCGCGCTATGTGGCTAGAGGTTTCAGTCAGTGCGAGGAAGTTGACTTCTTCCAGACCTTCTCCCCTACCTCGAAGATGACCACTCTTCGGGTGTTACTGCACGTAGCAGCACAGAGAGACTACGAGTTACACTCGTCTTCTCTACTGCCTTTCTTCAGGATAGTCTACACGAGGAGGTCTGGTTGCGTCGTCCCTCCACCTTCACTGGCACCTTCCCTCCTGGGACCCAGTGGAGGTTGAGGCGACCGGTCTACGGTCTCTGTCAGGCGCCTCGTGAGTGGCACGACACCCTTCGCTCTACCCTGTCTGACCTCGGTTTCCAGCCGTCTTCTGCCGACCCGTCACTGTTCGTTCGTCGTGGTTCCACACCGTTCTTTGTACTGGTCTACGTCGACGACCTGGTTTTCGCCACTGCTGACAGGGTTGCTTTGGCTGACGTGAAGTCCAAACTGCAGAAGAGACACACGTGCACTGACCTTGGTGAGCTGTGCCACTACCTTGGCCTGCAGATCACCAGGGACAGAGCCGCTCGCACCATTACACTCTCACAGTCACACATGGTGTAGCAGGTCCTTCAGCGGTTCGAGCTTCAGCAATCCATAGTACAACGCACACCTCTTGTTGTTGACCACAGACTCACTGGACCCTTTCCTGACGAGCCGTTTGAGCCTAGTGGTCCTTACGTAGAGCCGGTGGGCTTCCTCATGTACCTGATTGTCACAGGATCGAATTTCCACTCGAGAATGTTGCACTAAAGGTGAGTACAAGGCGTATTTATACTCGGAAATACATAGAAACAAGCGATAATCCGAACCTTCGGGAACGCGCTCTTCTAGGATAGATAATCACTAGTGCGCATAAGCACGCAAGCCCATTGGCACATTGGATTATGGCGAGATGACGCCTTGTACACCACCGTCGGAGCTATCGGTGCCGTATAATGTAATTGTCGGTGCCGAAAATACAAATAAGTGAAAAATTCGGAAAGCTCTAGAAAATAGAATAGTAGTCCGATTGAGGTGAAATAAAGTGCAAATGAAAGAGGAAAATAAGGAGAATAAGATATAGGAAAAATATGGAAATGAGAAATATGTCGAACGTCGGCGTACTCTCACACTTCCCCCCCTCAAAGCTGGGTGGTAGATGTAACACCCTGCTTGACAAGGTAGTCTCGGAGAGAACGTCGGGCGTTACTCATGTCGTGTTCAGAGACCCAGCTGTCTTCGGAAGGATCATAGCCCTTCCAACGTATGAGAAACTCCAGGGCGCCATGCCGACGACGACGATGTGCAAGCACAGATTCGACCTCGTACTCAGGTTCATCATTCACGAGGACTGGAGGCGGCGGCGGAGGTTGGCGTCCCGTGTACAGCTTATTTGGATCCCGATAGGGTTTAAGAAGCTGTACGTGGAAGGCATTATGAATCTTCCAAGTAGCTGGTAGGCGCAAGCGGAATGTGACTGGAGTGACCTGCTCTTCTACGAGGAAAGGTCCGCAGAAGCGAGGTCGCAACTTGGATGGAAGGTGACCAAGGTTGAGGTTGCATTTGTCAAGAAGTACATGGTCACCAACCGCAATGGTATGATCACGGCGATGGCGATCGGCCGAGCGTTTCTGTGAAGACTGGATGTCTTGCAG